ACCTTGAACGAGAAAAGCTTTATGGTATAGGGGCTTCAAATGGTTCTTAATTGAGAAACAAAATATTTCAGAGTTGGAAGAGACAGTACTTTCTGTCTATTGTAGTATAGTGAAAAGTTCTTGGTCCTAGTTCCAACTCTACAACAGACTAGCTATTTAGACTTTCATTAAGTCACTTAACAACCTCTTTGAATACAATCTCTTCTATGAACTAAAGGGGGTATATTGCTAAAGGCTCTTTCTTGCTCTAAAATCCTTTTAACTAATGCTTGACTATATCCAATAACTAATAATTTCACAAAGAAGAATGCTTACTATGTTGTACAAATGTAGTCAGAAACTTCTTTCTTGTGTAGACCTGAAAGTTTAGCAAGGATTTCTACTAGTGTAGTAAAAAAGAATAAATTCTCTCCTTGTCATATTAGGACAGAATTGTATGTCTAAGCCAAAATTTTAAAAATTCAGAAAAGGCTATCTGTACCTGAATTGGAATGTATTTTTTATGCTCACATGCAAATAAGTACACTTGATACTGAAATTAAAAACACAACTTCAGAACTTTTTGGAGCTCTAAGCAAAAATTAAAGAAAAAACTTTGCAGTCATATTTATCAATAAACATTTTTCTCTAAAGATACCTGAGTGGTGTTCATGTATGAAGGGGGGGAAAAAAAAAGGAGACAGCTGACAAGGACTGTTTTCTTTCACTGCCTTTAATTTGTTTTCTCTTGCCCTGTTTAGCCTCCCCATGCCAATCAGAGCCTCATATTTACCTCCAACAAAGTAAATGGCTCCTAAATGCCTCTTATATCAAGTTGAAAAGCTCAGATCAATTGCCTTTCCCCCTACCCCTCTGGATTTCATTTTAAAATCCAGTCTATATTCTCTGGGAGCTTCCTGCCATTCTTTCATAGGCATAACCCTGTGCAAGTTAAGCTAACTAAACTTCAACAAGCAAGTATAAATTTGGCTAGAGAAAGTTATTAATAATAACTAACACTTATATAGCACTACTGTGCTAGACAATGTGCTAATCATTATCTCATCTGATATTCGTCAGACCCGTTTTAAAGTAAGTACTATTACCATTCTCATTTTACAGATGAGGAACCTGAAACAAACAGGTGAAGTGACTTGCCCAGGGTCACACTACCAGTAAGTGTCTGAGAATGTTATCCACTATGCCACGTAGCTTCCCCACCATTTGTAAACATAGCTTTAAAGGCCTCACATAATCTGCAAGCATTCCTTTTCTGGTGGGATGGGATAGGGGAAGTTCAACAAGCCACAACTATAATACAAAGGACTGCTTGAGTATTAGCCATACTTTGCTTAAAAGTTACGAATAATGAAAAGTTAATTAAAAATAAACAGAAAGTTGACTAATAACAACATTTAACATTTAAATGGTGCTTACTACTCGCCAGGTCTGGTGCTAAGCAAGCCCTTCACACCCATTTGATCCTCATAACCCTGGGAGATAGCTGCTATTACTATTCCCATTTCACAGGTGAGGAAAGTTGAGGCAAAAAGAGGTTTAGGGTCACACACAAAAAGACCTGCTTAAGGTCACACAATTCTCAAGTGTCTTAAGCTAGTATTTGAACTCAGGTGTTCCTGACTCCAGGTCCAGTGCTCTAACCACTGTGCCACCTAGCATCCCCAAATTTTGAACATATTGCTCCCCTACCCTAAGCTGAAGTACAGAATCTTTTTGTACAATTCATACGGGTTAATTTTGAACATTTTAAAAGAGCTTTTAATGGAGACATTCTAGGTCAGGTATAACTAGAAGCAGTAAGATTAAGGAACTTTTACAAGCTTTCCCCCCTTACCCAGGGGCTTCCATGTCACCCTCATTGAATCGAGGGATGTTAGTGGAAATACATCAATCTCCAGGTAATCCATAGAGTAATCCATAGAGCACAGGCTGATTTAAAATGGGTTCAAGAGAGACTGAGAAAAGGTAACTGATCTGAGTTTTCAAATCTGACATGAAAACTAGGAGTCACTAAGATAAAAACTTTTTAAGAAAGGTTGGCATTGTGTAGTAAGAACACTAGCTTTGATGGAGGACTTGTGCCTGAATCAAAGCTCTTACGTGTGAAACTCCTGGGCAAGTCAACAAACCTCTCTGAGGTTTCATCTATAAAATGAGGGATCTGGACTCGATCTCCAATCTCTAAATCCTAAAGGTATCATGACATTATTTAGGATGTTAGAGAATCCAGAGTCTAACAAGGTACAGGGCATCTACCTGAACTACTCAAGTAATCACAAGCCATTTCATCCCTAAAGTAATATTTAAGCCACTTTTTTCAACAGTCTGCCATAAGTAACCACGGAACTATGAAGTGGTTACAAGCTGCAATATATAAATGGAAAATGGCCCACTTAAAATTATATTTTCTATAGATAGCATTATTTTCCAAGGTACAAAATGCATCTTCTTAAAGTAGTATTAAGAAAAAATTAGTGTTTCTTTTGCTACACCATGATAATTATTATGATTGTACACAAAATCTAGAAAGTTGGATAACTTTTAAAAAATTTATGTTAGAAAACGAGAAACTTTTATTTTGTACAGTAACGAAGTGTGTTAAATATACTTTGAGACAGTTTTTAGATCATCTGTAACGTTTCAAACTAGTCTACATATGTTCTTACTTTACTGCTGACTAGTTTTCCAACTTGGCTGTGCTAATATTTTTTTAAGTCCCATTTTCCAAAAGTTAAATACCTGCTTGGCTTCCAACAGTGCTACTCTATTTTAACTTCCTGTTTTGAAAGCAGGATTAATTTGACTGCCACACCCCACCAGTGGTTAAGTTTTATCTAAAGTAGTTGGGGTGCAGTTTGCAGAACTGGGACTGTTCCTGCAGCAAAAGGCGTTAACCTTTAACACCACCTTTAAAAAGTAAGTTTGCTAATAAATGTGCCCACGTCCAGGATTTTTTTAAAAAAATAAATCTCACACAGACTAGCAACTTTAAGAAAAATCTCCATTCTACTGCAGTTTTACCCTGTTCCTTGTGCGTTTAAGAGATGAGAAAAAGAAACCAAGTCCCTCTTGTATATCCCCTTCTAGGTTCCTGCAAATCAGCTTTTTAAAATATGTAACTAACTCCCAGCTTAATTTTTTAAAGCAAACAATTTAGCCTATAACAAACATTTGTTGAATATTGGATCTGTCAGAAATCGCAGACACAACCGTAACTTTACGTGCTCAAAAAGTCGCACTGAGTCACAATCTGCGGAAAGCCCTCGATTAACTATGTGCCTAAAAGCACGCCAACTATAGAATAGGCTTTGGAACAGAAGGCAAAACATCCCGAAGTGGAATAATTATTCAGGAGTCTTAACCTTTTTTGTTTCAAAAACCACCTCCCTCTCGCCCCTGCCGCTTTGGCCCAAGGACCCCTCCTCAGAATGTGTGCAAATGCACAAAATACAGTACACAAAGTTCCAAGTGAAAACAACTACACTGAAATGCAATTAACGAAAGTGTTTTTAACAGTTCCCAGACAGGTACAGAACCTCCGAGTTCACGCGCAGGTCTGCAGCCGAGAAGGGAGCTCGGGCAGGCCACCGCAAGGAGTCCCATGGAGGAAGGGGTTCGGGCTTCTCAGGACCCCCTCCTACCATCCACTCCCTCAGGGCTGAGCCCTCTCAGCACCAAGTTAGGAATGGGGCGAGCCGAGCCTAGCTTCCGGCTGCAGTCTTCCCAGAGGAAGGTGCCGGGCGGGGTTCCCGACCAACCCCTTCCCTGGACCCCGCGGGGTCAGACTTGGGGGGGTGGGGAATAAGGGCTCTGGCGGGACGCAGGCGCTATCGGCGTCGCGAGCACCACTCACCTGCGGCGGCTGAAAACCCGAGAACAACAGTGGCGACAAACGACAACGCGACCCGCAACAAGGCTGGAGACGGCGGCTACTCGGCGCTACGATCCACCCAGCTCACTACTGCCCAGGAATCAGCCACCGACCCCGGCACTTCCGGCCCCGACGCACAAACCGGAAGGAACTTCGGGCTGGGCTCCATTTTCTGCCCAATAGTGGGGCCCTTCTAATGAGAAAAGGAGGGGAAGGATAGACAGCTTCAAGCTATAAAGAGAACCAGTGGATTGAGGAAGAGTAATAACAATGGCATACTATGCAGAGAAATGAATGACGGTGCTTGGTGATATTACTTTAAGTGAAATTCTTTGGTTCCCCGGGGTTAGCCGTCGTAATTTAGTTCTTGTTCTCCCCTAGTTGTTTGGAAAGATGGTCGAGTCTGGCCCCAGGCATTGGCCTTACCTCACATTCCAAAGCTCAACAAAGGGCAGGGCCTCGCAGTCTATGTCCTTGTAGGGAAGTAGAAGAGAATGTTTGAATAGAGATACACGTGATCCTCCTCTAAGTCTCGTTCTATTACCTCATAGGTGGTCTTGCGCAAGCGCAGAGCTGCCTTTCTTTCTCTCTCCTTCTCTCCCCCTCCCCCTCCCCCACCCCCACCCCCACCCACCTGCCTTTAAGCCTCCTAGTGCCAGTGCTTGGGGCAGAAAAGCTCTTGCACCTCTGAATTGTCTGTCACACTTCTTTACTCTAACTCCAATTAGCTCATCTATGTAAATAAAACCTTTGCCAGCCTTAAAACACTATTGCATACCTCGGCTGCTAGTAGTACTTCTTTGTCAATTAATTACTAACCGCAGTTTACTTGTCTCTTTCCTTAGAAAAAGAAGAGCTATCACGGTAAGGGCAGTTTTCATGAATAGTTTAATTTCCCTTTAGTTTTTGGTTCTCGTTGCTTTTAGAAAGCTAGAAGGCTTCTCCTTTACAAGGAGGAAATGCGGTCCCCTGGCTGGCAGGTGGAGGCTGTCACCTTTACCAACCCCCTCCCTCCACCCTTCCCTCTAAAACTCCAGAAAGTCCCACCTACATCCTCTGAGTCACCCTGGACCTCCCCGTACTAAATGACGTCAGGGTGGCTTCCAGGAAACAGGATTCCTCTTCTATTAGTCTGTTGGTTTAACGACCTTAGGTCACAGCTAACTCCAAGTTTTCTTTCAACCCTGAGGAGTTGGGACTTGCCTTAGGGTCACACAGTGAGTATGGGAGTTTGGATTTGAACTTAGGTCTTGATGAAATGCTTTTTCTTACCATACCAAGCTGCGTTTCTGTCAAGAACAACAATAAACGGATTGAACTTGATTTTTATCGCTGTGCATCTATCAGCTTTTCCAGAGGTCAGGGAATATGGGCTCAGGGCTGAAGCATAACTGAGAATTCTGTCTTGTGCTGGCTTTTCTCCGTGCCTTTTCACAGGCTGACCCCCAAGCCTAAGAACTCCCTCCTCACCTCCAGTTTCCCAAGCCTAGCTTTTTTGCTTTTTTTTCTTTTGGTTAGGCAGTGGGGTTAAGTGACTTGCCCAGGGTCACACAGCTAGTTAAGTGTTAGTGTCTGAGGTCGCATTTGAACTCAGGTCCTCCTGAACCCAGGACCGGTGCTCTGTCTGCTGTGCCACCTAGCTGCCCCAAGCCTAGCTCTTTTTCAAAACAAAGCTCAAATTTCTTCTCCAAGGTGGGTTTCTCAGTCACCTCCCTTCTCCTAGATTACTGCCAGTTTACCCCGTATATATCTTGAATGTACATAGTTGTTTGCATCTTCTCTCCCCTCCAAATAGAATGTGAGCTTCTTGAGGCTGACTCTTTTTTGCTTTTCTCAGTGTCCCTAGCATTTTGCACAGTGCCTTGCATGTAGTAAGTATTTAATAAATGCTCACTGTCAGGAAAGTGAACGAATCCAGGGCACTATGCTAGATGCCAGAGGGAAAAATACACCTTCCCAGAACCTTCTTCCAAGAAATTTTCTTTCTAAATGTTCTGATATTAAATTGTAATACTTAAATTCAGGCCAAAATCAAAAGGAAGGAAGCAAATGCCATTCCCTGACTATCCTGTAGTGATTGCAATCACACCATAGTTTGGGGATTTTGAGAAATGGCAGATAAACCAAAGATGTTTGTCTTTATTCTCAGAGAGATCTTGAAGAGGATCAGGAAGGTGATGCCACGGTTTGCAAGTGAATTAGATTTAAGTGAGAAAGGACTATGCAAAGTTACTAGCCTCACTTTCTCCTCCAGTCAACTGGGTTCAGTGGCAAGATATAGATCAAGATAACTGGAGATGGCCCCATGCAGTGGGAGACAGATTTCAGTTTGACTGAGTCAATGCCCAGTCAGTGATTAAGGCTGAATAAGAAATGAAACAAAGAATGGCCTCTTTTACCTAGTAAAAGAAAAAAAAAGTCAAAGATAAGCCAAAAACAAATGAGGAGGAAGCAGCATTTTCTAGGAATTTAATTTGGTGGAATGGACAAGCAATATTTGAACAACGCAATGCACATATGTCTCCACTGAGTGGCGACATACTACAGAGTACTCTAATGGCAAACTTGCTATATGGACTGGACCTGTGGTAAGATACATTTTAAAAAGGAAGAGTGTAGTTTCTTCACAAAGTCCAAGGTGGCAGCAAAGGAAAAAAAAAGAATCTTGTTCAACCCCAATACTATACAACCCAGGACAACTCCCTTGTTGGCTCAAAGCTAAGGAAAAAAGGTAATAGAATGCCTTGGTTCCTGTGAGTTATAATAAGAAGTACCAGGAGAAGCAATTGTTGTTGGTAACCTGACCCTTATATTCAGATCATTTTTCAGGCTGGCCCCATAAGTTGCAACATCCAGGAAACCTCTTGATATGTGATGATAAGGCAACATCACTACCCTGTCCCAGCCCTAAGCCTCATCTCTTTACTCAAACATCTACTTTCCTGAGATCTCTTCACTTTGCTACCCTAAAAGATCTCTGCCCTGAACTGATTTATTCCCTAGTATTGACCTCACCTGTACCTTTGGTGGACATTTAATTCTATCATAGCTCCCAACCCAAGTAGTAAGGGTGAAGATACACTTTAGCCCCAATTAAAATAAAACCAAACCCCTAATAATGTTTAATAAATGCATATTATATATACATAGTATCTATATGTATATATGTACATCCAAATATTGCACTTAAATACAGAGCAATAGCAGTACAGGGTGTCCCAAAAAGTCTTAGTGCAGCTTTAAGTTATTAAAGCATAAAGGTTATTTATTTTTCTAAGGGCCGTTGCTTTGAAATATGGGGTGGGGCAGAGAAGGGGAGGACAACTTTCCCTCATCTTGATTAATTAGGAACATTTTATATAAATGTATTAAAATTAAAAGCAAGATACTCTTTCTGAATGATATAGTGTTAACATCCTGTTAATAATTAACTTGTTTTACGCCAAGAGGCAATATAATAGCTGCTAAGGTCCAATGGTCCCCTCTTCTTTGGCTTTAGGAAGTTTATCACAATTATAATTGCTCCAGTCCTGGAATAGGAAGTTAGGATTAGAAATTCCTAACATTTAGGATGAGGTTGGACTCTCTTAATGTACATTTATAATTAATCTCTAGTTAACCCTTCACCTCTTTTTGACTGAGGGACCACTGAGATTGAAATGAAATAACAGATTATGTTATAGTAGTTTTTTGTTAAACAGGTCATGGAATAGGAAGTCAGGGAAGAGCAGAGCTTTTCTTGAGACATGCCTTAGACCTTGATTGAGTAGATACACTGCTACTGCAAGGGGGAGACAAGAAAAGGCTTCCTGCTGAAGGTGGGACTTGAGATGAGTGCGGAAGGAAGCCAGGAAAACCAACAGGATGAGAGGAAGGAGCATTTCGGGCTTGAAGGACAGACAGTGAAAAGGGATAGAGCTTTGTTTTGTGTCCGGGGGAAGGATAATATACCAAATATACCAAATATGCCAAAGAGGTGTTGATCCTTTAGGGCAACCCCTAAAATCAGACGTGGTTCATGTGAGTCCAGAGGGCCAAGGCTTACATAAAGTTGATAAGTAAAGTAAATAAGCTATGTTGAAGGATATCATGTCTCACAGTTGATAAGCATTTACTAATTATCTACTTTGTTATAGGTTCTTTACCAGGTGCTGAGATATAATGACAACAATGAAATATGGGAAACAATATGTGCCTAGATAAGTAGATGTGAACTACACAGAAATTAAGCAGTCATCCTAGGAAGGCAGATACTAACAGTGGGAAGCATTAGGAAAGAGGACGGCTATTCCCACAGTGCTTCAGTTCTGCATAGAGATGGAATGTAAGTAAGAAGCTTAGGGATATTTCTGAGGCAAGATATTTATTCCGGCCAGGAGAGGAAGCAGGAAGTTGGGACCAAGGGTTACCTCCTCAGAGGAGAAGATGGTACCACACTAGAAGTATATCCATCTATTCCCTTAAATATTATTAGTCCAGGGGATATGATTGGGTTTCATCTAACTTCTGATCACTTTGTCATTTTGGAGGTAAGGGGGACCCTAAGCTCTATATCCAAGGCTTACCCCTTTTCAACCTAATACCACTTTCATAATGAATATAAATAGAAAATAGCAAAGAAATCCATTTATCCAAATAGTAGCAAAATCAGAGAAGGTATAAATAGGAGAACATATACTAGACAATACCGAATCAAGGACCTCTCCCATTGGAAGCTAGATAGCTCAGTGCTAGAGAGAGGATTCTGGATCTCACCGAAGGAGAAACTCCCAAGCCTTTAGAGTAGCAAGCTGGGAATAGGGGTATGATGGAGACTGCCTGCTCTTCTCATAGTTTCCCAGAGTCTTTTCCTTCAATAACCTGAAGTGGAATTGGCTTCTTTTGCCTTTTCTCTTGAAGCTGGAAGCCAATTGAAAGGAAACTTGAAGTTTGACCAGTTCCAAAGGAGGACTGGCCCTGAAGAGTTCTGAAGAGGGACACAAAGGGAACTCTCACTTGGAGGGTCCCAAAAGAAACTATTGAATGTTCATGCAGGGCAGCTTCTTGTGATGTATGAAAAGTTTGAGAGACATAATTTCTGGGTAATTAATCATTTTTATTAATTATAGCTAGTGATTAGTTAACAAAAGGATGGTCATCTGGCCTTCTGTCCTAAACCAAAGGCCTTTCCTGGAGGCCTCTTGACTCTTATATACCCTTGGAAGAATGGGTGTTCCCAAGAGGTGGCAATCAACTCTGATTGGTTAACAATTCATGAAGGAATGAATATTATAATGAGAAGTAGACCTATTCTAATGAGGGGCTGGGGGACTTGACTGTGATCACTCAGTCTTGGACAAAGAGATTTATCTCTGCCCAGACCACCCCCACCTAGAGCAGTCTAGACAAAGGGTATCCATCTCCACTCAGACCTGTCTGATTAGAACACAATGGGCCAGAATTCACATAGGCTATAATCTCTTTAACTTTTGATCAGTTCTAAGCTTTCCCAACTGGATAAGTCTCCCCCAAGATTTCATTTCATCATTAGCCCTGCCCTTTTGAGAACTAAACTTTGACCTAATCCCCAAATGAGGAAATAGGAAGGGAAAAAATCCTGGATCTCCTCATACAATGAATTATTTGGTAATCATTTCTCTCAGTCCTCTGCTCTACCAATAAGGAGAGAGTCTCATACCAATGGGCTTCAAAGCAGGGGTTACAAGTAGCAATGGCTAATCCTAGGGACAAATTATTAACCTATTGTGTCCTGCTCTCCTAGAGTGGGCACTGGGCAGACAGTAGAGTAGGACCAGGGACAAACCTAGACTCAATAACTTCTGTTCGTAGACAATAGTGAGAATGTTTGCCGTTAATGCACATTCCTGATTTTATCCTGCAAATGTAAATTCCGAGCAAACTCCCTCCATTTCTATGTCCCTTCCCCTCCCCAGGCCCAAGAAACCATTCCAGATTGGTGAGAAGCTAGAACACTTGCTATCACTGGGGGCTATATCCCCTTTGTTTTCTCCCTTGCCTGAACTGGAAGGTAAACCCACACCCAAGCCCACTTCTCACTGGGTTTGGATCAGATGGAAATCAAAAACGATATTTCTTCCAATGAGATGGAGGACGACTAGGTCTCAGCATCTATCCTGCTTCTCTGCTTTATGATCCCCCAGTCACTGTCATCCAGCTTACTTATATAAGGGTCTTGCCATTCCTACCACTGCATCCT